TCTCTGTACTTTAAAGAATTTCACTAATGTTTTTGTTTGAATCACTCCAATTGTTCTTCAAAATAGCGATTCCACGAGACTTTAGGATTATTATTCCAATTTTTCTATTAATGATAGAGACAATAATCATCTTCAGATTTCACAACATTTTTGCTTCTTTGCTAGAATCATTTCTATTTTTCCAGTTTTTCCTCGGGGAGTTTCTTGGAATGGCGACATCCACTGTCTGATAGACCTTCTCTTCTTTGTTCACAATAACTATACTCAGTTATTTTTAATTGTTTGTTTGTTCTAAATGTGGTAGGACGTTTGAATGGTAATTATTATTACTTAAATGGTTTTTTTTTAAATTCGTACAAAAGCCACTAAAAAGTCGAATCAATCTGGAAAATTATAAAACCTCCATTTCTACAATGAAGACTAATATATCATTTAACTGATACGAAATACTTTATTGCTGAAGACGATGTATTTTTACTTTTTCTAAAAACGCTTTTTATTATTCGTAACCACGATTTTTTATCCTTTAGTATACTAAACCAAAATTTTTTAAAAAAGCAATAAATGTTTAAAAAAAAAAGAAAATAGAAATTTACGTATTACGAGACAAAAATTTTTAAAAATGTCTATGAATCTCTAAACTTATGGCTATTGAAAAATATGTATTTTTCTTGGCGGGGGCGTTGTAATAATGGCGTATATTCACCCCAGATATTTTTCGAAACATTAAAAATTGAAACCTCCTTGTCCTTCGATACTTTTTTAATTTGTGAAAAAATGCAAAAAACTAGACATCTTTCCGAAGTCACTTTAAGATGGCGCGAGCTATGTCCCCGACACTGAAAATTTTAAAATAATTACAATCGAACAAATTTGTATTTATTCTTTCGACCAATTTCCTCATCTTTTTATTCTTTGATTAATATTTTGACCGTCATACACCCCAATCACTCTCAGGTACCATATGGCCTTCATTAACCGATAAATATCGATGGGCGACTTTTATTTGAGTTATGGAGCATGTCATTCTCATTCCGTTGGCTTTTATGTCTCAGAATTTCAAAATTCGTCACTGTCAAATCTACACTGAGATCTGCCTTTTAATGAACAACACGAATTTTACTAATTTTTTCACTCATTAAACCTTATTACATAGGAACAGTTCAAGCAGTTTCATTTTATGAATCCTCAAAGCTAATATTTATTCATCACTAATTCAAGTATGCTTATTACTGTTATTGTAAGTACCATGTTTTTAGAAATTCAAGCCAAACAAAAGGTATTTCCACAGATTCTTTCTGATGTTATAATTTGATTTATATATTTAATGCTAGATTGTTTATTTATATTGTAACTTACCTGGAAAAGATTTGGAACCCGAGGGAAATGACTCTATTTACGTATCATTCGTTTTCCAGCTTTCAAAACTGAACGGTACAAATTTGTTGCAGCTTTAGACTAGATTCGAATCCCATACATTAGTAAGATTTTTTTTTTTTTTATACCGACATAAATTTTCATATTTAGTCTTTCTACTACTACGTCTTTCTTCTGGCTATTAGTCTTTATCGTTGAATATCTAATAATAGAAGTAGCTGTCGAAATACTTTTTGAATTCTTTAAGAGTGAGTATTTTATACATCATCACCAATTTGGCTATTATATTGAATGACTCAGGGAAAGTGAGATAAATTTTACGTAACCTTTAAGATAGATAGATAGATAGATAGATAGATAGATACGAATAGACTGAGATAGATAGATAGATAGATAGATAGATAGATAGATAGATAGATATACATACTTGCATGCATACATAAATAATATATATATAACTGCCTTGTGTGCGTACACACACACACACACATATATATATATATGATATAACAATATATAATTTTGTATAATTTTATATATCAACAAACAGTATCTATAAATTTTTACAATTTATCATATTATACACACACACACACACACACATATATATATATATATATATATATATATATATATATATATATATATATATATATATATATTATATATATATATATAATATTATATTATTAATATTATTTATTAAAAATTAAAAGTAAAATTTCAAGTGGGCAGTGACCGAACATGTCTGCCAGTACCATGCACTTTCACGCAATCATCAGATTATGGGATTGATCAGCCTTTTTTTTCTCTGTGCAATCTTAGGCAAACTCTTTTTGGAGCTGCTTATTCTTATTAAAATATATATATATATATATATATATATATATATATATATATATATTTTTAGTTGAGAATATAGCCTGCACCATGTCGTTTAAAAAGAGTGGTTTAAAATTATTCATACAGCCGATTCAACAATCATTTGAAGATTTTGGAATCGGTCTGCATAGGATTAAGGAAACCTTCTCTCTGCCGGCAGAAAGAATTTGTAAAGTCTCTTAATCTGTTGGGGGATATTTTATTTTATCTGTCCCTCGCTAATTTATTTACACGATTATTT